CCATCGGCATCGTCCGCCCCTGGATCGAGACCGCCTCCCCAGAAGTCCTCGCCATCTTCAACGCGACCCTCGACCACTACCGCAAGCTCAAGAACTACACGATAATCGACATCACAATCCCGTACCTCCCCGAAGGCCAAAAAGCGCACGCTCTCACCATCCTCTCGGAAGTAACCTCATCCCTCACCCCATCCCAGATCTCGCACCTCACGCCCGCCAACAAAGTAATGGCTTCAATGGGCATGTGGCAAATCAAAGGCCAAGATTTCCTCGCGGCGCAACGTCTCCGTAACTGCCTCATGACGCATCTGGCTCACTTGTTCCAGAAACACCCTGGCTTGATGATCGTCACGCCGACGACGCCAATCCCGGGGTGGAAGATTGCGGGCGGCGAAGCGGATCTGAAGCGTGGAGTGTCGGATGGGAATTCTACGGTCAGGAATATGGAGTATGTCTGGTTGGCGAATTTCTCGGGCTGTCCGGCGATTAGTTGTCCAGCTGGGTATGATGTGGTGGATGATGGAAGGAGGGTGCCGGTGGGCGTTATGGCTATGGGGGAGTGGGGGAGTGAGGAGGAGTTGATTGAGTTTGCGAGGGATGGGGAGGGTGTTTTGGGTGAGGTTGCTGCTGCTGATGGTGGTGAGGGTGAGGGTGAGGGTGAGGAGGAGAGCTCGGGGTTGACGGTTCCGAGGGGGGAGGGGGCCGCTTGGGAGGATGTTATTGCTAAGGCTGGAGAGGAGATGAGCTCTTAGGATATGGGTTGGTGGTTGTTTCCAGGATTGTTTACTGGTACTTTCTTACGGTGTTTATGACTGTCTTGTGGTCACTCTAAATAGCCATGCCGTAGTGACCAAGGGTTTATAACTCTGATTCTAATGACACTATGTTCGATTACACCGGTGGTATCTGCTAAATCACATGATGCAATAGCAAGAGGGTAGACGAGAGATAATCTGCTCACAAAAGCCGCGCCAAAAGATAGAACAAGAGAAGTAAGATAGAACAAATAGGAATGGAAAGGTAAGAGGAAGATGCACTAAGGATCATCTTTGCAGACATGGGCCCCCGATAAGAACTGGATTCATATGACGTGGTCCAAAGTCATGTATAGATATAGCCCGTTGATATGTTCCCCTCTATTGCATGGCTCGGTGTCACAAGAAGCAAGGAGCACCGGACATGTTCGGTGCAAGATAGACAAGCCATGCTGGACTTGCGGTAACCGACATCAGATCAAAACGCTCTCGCCACGTGTGGGGACTCGAAATTCGCATCCTAGTCCGGCAGCTTGTCCCTGGGCTTTGAGTTCTTGCAGGATCCGCTCCTGAGGAGGTGGGCCATCATTCATATCGTCCTTAATATGTATGATATAGACCAGTAGTCCGGTCAGAGGTGGTTCTGGCCACTGGAGCACCGTGAGAGGGTCTGAACTTTCTGCCAGCGACACATCCATACCAACTTCACTCGGAGCGTGGGAAACGGCTGGGCTTCCTTCCATGTTTTCGTCAATGTCTTCTACAGCAACTCTGGCACGCGTATGGCGACGTGACGTCCTGGCCGATCCCCGACGAGAGCCTCCTCCACTTTTCTCGCCAGCGAGAGCAGCCTTCTTTGACTTGGGACTGAGAGCTGGATCGCCGGCTGCCTCGGGGGCACTTGCACGTTTGCGTTTTCTTATCGAAAACGAATCTGGGTATTTCAATTCTGTAACCTTCTGTGCCAATACAATCAATTCATCGATCAAGTGACGTGGGCACAAATGGCCGTATAAGGAGGCGTCGTCAACATCATCGTTATAGGAGCATTCAATGAAGATCGCTCGCAGTTGAGAGGCAACGATCTTCGGGGCTGCTGCTTCCCACACGCGTCTGTTGCGCGGATTCATTGAGATCGAGTCAGGTTCAACGTCACCGAAGATGATCACTTCTCGCTTTGTCGTAGGCTCACGGATGAAGAAAGCTGACGACTCCACGGTGGCCCAGCCATCCTTGCCGGGTACGCGATAGCCTGGCGAACGCGCTCCGGAAAAGTAGCCGGTCTCTGGCTCGTCGAATGACATCGAATAGGCCCTTGGGTTCAATCTCATTGGGTCAACACCAAAAGGGGCGCTGCTCATCCGGCGTTGAATGTCATTGTCGACGCTTGATCTCTGCCTGCAACACCCGTGACTGATAGCCAGGCATTTTGCCAACAAGCCCTCGCAGACTCGCGTATAGCCTTTTTCATCACCACGCCCCATCATGGGGTTTCCGCCCTCCATAAGTCGCTGGTAGGTAACAAGGCCAGCACCGCCATCCTCATCAGAGAGGTTTGGCCAAATCACATCGTTAAACACGTGAGTCTTAATGGCAGCAACCACCGAAGGCAGAGCGGCCAACGTTTTCGCGCCACTTCCAGCCTCCAGAACTGGAGTGTTGATGGCAAACGCTGACAGGTGGTCTAGATGAGGATGTGTGATGCAGACAGCGCCGATAATATGCCGGAAAACATGGGCTGCATTTGCTGGTACATTGTTATGTGGCAGTTCGAGCCCAGCAAATGGCCCCTGATCCGACGACTTTTGGTTATTATCACATGGTTCCAAAGTGTCGATAATGCCACATAGAAGGGTGCCCGCATCAACAGCTACGATCGAGTTTGCGGACCATTTGGTGGATGTGGATCGGACCAGAAGTCCAGTGACTCTATCCTCACGGGGACCTCCTGTCGGACCCTTTCAAGGGAAGCGTTAGTGGTCGACCTTGAATGCGAAACCCGCCAGCGATGAAATGGGTTGAGGTGTAGTGAGAATTCGAGAACATGGCGCGGGGAGAAGTGTGAGACATGGCGCATCGATGCTAGTGATCGGACTCGCCAGTAGGCAGACTTTCAGGGTTCGCAATCATGTGTGTAAAGAACAACGTCATGGCCACCCGGGACTGACAAACACAGCATGTGAGACAAAACTTACCAGCACGATTATCTGCAGACTTGGAGGACCGGGTCCATCTCCTTGGCCAGCTGCTTCTGGAGGGTTTGCGCCTACAAAAGGCAATTCAGACTCTTGCATTTTGAGTGTGAAGATGGCTCAAGGCAGAAGTCGCCAGGGCATCAATTGAACCAGCAATCGATGGGATGTGTTGGACTCCCAGTACAAATAGCCCTTCCGGACGAACTCTAGCCCTTTTTCAGAGAACCACTTGGGGTAGCGGCCGGACCTTGTGTGGATACCTCCAAGGATCTGGGCCAGGCGATCCTTACGCTTTTTATCGGAATGAAGCTATAAAGCAGTTCCCACAAACTGGAAACTATCGCCGTTGTTGCACTGCGTATCTCGTCGGAGAATAAGCAAGGGCCAAAATGCATATACTCCACCTAGGGCGGCTGAGCGCAGATATTAATGCACACCACCCTCGCTTTATTGTGCAGATGTGGCTGTGGGCGGCTGTAACTTCCTCGATTTAGTGTACGTCAAGTCGAGAGGTGTGGTGAGGATGAAGAGAAGAAACTTTCCCCGTTCTTCTTGGAGAGCTGCGTGATGCTTTTCAACCTAGATAGCGGTCAGGCTGGCAGCTAGGCCTATGCGACAAAAGGTTGCCAAACCCCCAGCGCGTCCACTGTTGGGGGCGGCACTTCCCCGTGAATCTGGGGCAAAGCTGCGTCGCACCAGGCCAGTTAGCGCACCAGTTGTTGGCGGTCACTCGCTCGCCACTGGGCACCTGCAGCACGCTAACGGCCGGGGCTGAACAGATGATTCAGTGGCTGGAGGGGGGGTCGGAAATCACCGTTGGCGGCAAAAGCAAAATTGAGGGAGCTTGTTTAGGAGCCAATGAAGGATGAGAGGTATTGTTTAAAGTGAGAGAAGTAACGCAATATATTGGCGACTGTTGTTGCTTCAAGTCTGCTGAGTGATTCAACTTGGAGAAGATAAGGTTAATGGGAGGCAATGTCCGACCGAGAAAAGCAGCAGGGAAGGTGAGCCATTGCAGTACGAGGACCAGCCAAGGGACAAGGGAGGAACAGAAACTCTATCATGTGCGTTGAGAGATGATAACCAGCAAAGTCAGTCGGATCAGTCTATGGAAGATCAAGGACGGAGAGAATCGTGCGATGCAGTGCTGGTGGACGTCGTCTAGTGGGCATTTGGAGATGCATATCTTGCGTGCGAACGGAGAAATGCAATGTGGAGGATGAAAGAGGATGGAATATGATGATGGAAGAGAAAGATTGGGGGGAGGTTGAGCAGAGAGTAGTCACTGACTGGCACTGATCGATGACGCGCTGGTTGCGGAAGGAGCAACAGAAGACTGAGAAAGAGCCTTGTTCCCGGAAATAATCCCAGCGCTGAATATCACTGGATAAATAAATATAGATACAGTTAGTATAATACTAGCGAAATAGATAGCAGTAATAATGAATAACATTTATTGGGTCGAACATGTGGGGGAATGGGGCAATGGATGGACCGGTACTACAAACTACGATCTACTGTTTTCTTGGTTATTATACGCCGTGCTACCTGATGCAAAATATTTCATTGCCGCTGGTTATACAGCGGCGCAATAGCAGATGACCACTCGATTGCTACACATACACAAGAAGATACAGGGAAGCGCAGACAAGGAATGATATAAATAGCCACTGTATGTGTTCAGCCATGAAAAACGTACTCCCAGACAAACACCGCGATAAATTCACCCAGTTCAATAGCACCCATTTTGGACATGAATTGCGCAAGGAAACAAGGTTATCATTGGAACTGCATTGTCCTCTCGTTCGGTCGGTCAAGGCCAAGAAGACCCCTGGCCAACCGCCTCAACTCGAAGGGAACGTGAGCATGATGGATTCGGCCCTGCAAGGTGTCCACGACCTCAACCGAGACAATTGTTCCAAATGACAAATGAAGACAGAAACGACCAGACCCTATATACGTAAAATTCATCATTGCCACGTCTAGCGGCGTAACCGTGAAACCTAACCCGTAGAAGAATCCCGCCTGTGGAACGCCGACCGTGGCCGCTAAAATCAGGGAACAGTAGTAGAAATAGAACCAGTGGCTGAAACATGTCGTATACACATCGAAGAGACGCTGCGCCAATAACTGATGGATGAACGATAACAATATATGCGGGACCTCGGTCGCCTTTCAGGGAGTCTCGTTGGGATGCGTGCCGTGACCGTCGCGGTTGCCAACAGCAGCGTCGTAGCTAGGTATCGGAGGCTGTTCGTCAGAGTGCAGGTCCTCGCTGCCTCTCCGACTGCCGTCCGGACTGGAATACTCGGGAGGTGGGACTTGGTCGAGATCCTCTGTATGCAACAAGGGGACTTGCTCGCCATCGACGACGTTGGTGCGACTGGATCCTTCGCCAACGTCCTCGTTCGACGGGATGTGGGCAAGCTGAGCCAAGGAAATGTCGGTGGGTGACCGCACAGGGCCGGGACTAGCAGATGGCGCAACACGGACAGTCGAACTGGTGCGTGCATTATTGGCATCCTGGTAGACCCGTTGGGAAATCTGAGCTGCACTCTCCCGACCCGACTCTAGTAGGATACTGCCTTGCTCGCTGCCGTAAGGCGGAGGCGGAGCCAGACTACCAGTCATAGGGGCCAAACCCCATTTCTTGACGTTGGCCTCGATGAACACAAAACCCATCTGACCGAAGTTCACATGGACAGAGCAAGGTCCATTGGCTCCAACAGTGGGGAAGAAGTTTTGGGCTTTATGACCGTGAACGACGTCCTCCAGCTTCTTGCCATTGCGAGTGAAGAAGATCGTACCCGAGCGAGGCCGATACCCTACTCCGATCACATCACCTTGCAGAAGGTGAGGACCATATGGTGTTGGTGCAAACGGCTGGTTGTGTCTCCTGTGACCAGTGGACTGGTATGCGACCGAAGTCTTGTGGAAGCCTGACATCATAAGGAACAATATTAGCGACCGTCGGATGACCGGTATCACCCCTCCCCCAATAAGACACCCAAAGACGCACCTGGTAATTTGAACAAGGGATACGGTTTTGTAGTCATCCCAATACTGATAAGAGTATTATCAGGTTTGTCGTAGATCTTAGCCTCCCAGTAATAAACGTCATTTTGTTTCGGAACAGGCAAATTGGTCTGGACACTGCATTCCGAGTCGTAGAACTCGATTTCCGTACGGCCTTCAACAAAGCAATTGGCAATTTCCAGCTCTGGCTGGAATTCCCAAGCCGATACTCCTTTTTCTTGAATCGCGAGGAATTGAGAGAGCGATATGTCGGTTTGTACGGACTCGGGCGGATTGGCTTCGATGAACGCTGTCGTGTATTAGCGACAAATGCACATACGTCATGCTTGACAAGACCCCATGGTCGTCGTTCGCCCAAGAAAATAGACAAAAGAGCCGGTGACTTACCCTTCGCTCTCATATACTCTGATCGCGTGAGATCATCCATCGTCTCCAAGGCTTCCGCCTCCTCGCGCGCAAACGCTTGTTCATCGTCGAATTCACCCGGTCGGCCGATGCGATCGAGAATGATTCTACCACGCTGAGTGTATTTGAAGAAAAAGAAGACGGCGAGTACAAGCACTGCAACGGCAGCGGACCCAAAGGCAGAGAGGACGCCTATCAGGATACCCTTGCCGGTAGAACCCGACGAGTTGCCACTGACGCTAACTAGACCGCCATTGCCTTCTGACATGGACAACAAGACATGCTCGATGTTGGAGGCGACTAAATTGGGATCGGTCGGAGGGGGTTCAGGAGCAGCGGTGGGATTGATTCCAAGAGCCGTGGCAAGAGTCGAGGGAGCATCAAAGAGAGCACCGGGCCCCGATGCCTCAGATCCCCGCATCGTTCATTGACTGGTTGGAGATGTTGCGTCGACACGGACTCGCTGGCGGAGAGGAGAGATGGTAACGCTAAGCCGAATATTATTAGATAAGGAGGGAAAGCGACACTAGGGAAATGGCGGGTAGATGAAAGGCGTAGGGGAAGGGAAGGAATGAGAGATGGAGAAAGTTGCAGAGGAGTGGGAAAGAGATGAGGAGCGATGATGAGGGAGTTTCAAATGGGGAGAGTTGGAGGTCGGGACCAAGAAACCAGAAGCAGAAGCCCAGGACGAGAGAGAGGGAGACTGAGAGAGGCGCATGTGGGGGGCGAAAAGGTAGCGACGCTTCCGGGGCAATGCGCTCGATGCTTCCGGATGACAGCACTCAAGGCATGTTGTGAACTCCTAAAGGAGATACAGGAATTAGATGGGCCACGTTTGAGATCAGATACACTCCTACATATGTCTGCTGGCCAACTAAGTTGTTCCCCCCAAATAACTGTCCATGCAAGGTCCCAAGCAGTCCAGGGAAAAGGGATGAGGCACTCCAAGAGTCCCTTTGGATGCCTGATCAGGGAAACTTAATCAGCCGTCACTCTTCAATCATCTCACATTAAGGACGTATCTCTTGTCTGTAAGATACTGTATGGACAGTCTGGCCAGGCCCATCAGTCACACCCTATTTCTGGTATCTTAGCTGTTCCACGGCAGTAATAATACAAGACCGATGGACTCCGCCGGAGACCCTGTCTAAACCCGATAGAGAGACACGCTATCGCTGGCTGTCATTCCTCTCCCTCTTTCTCCCTCCTCTCGCTTTCTAAGCGCTGTCTTATCTCCTCCAGTCCCTCTATCTCCCTTCCGTGCCTTCATTCGGGTCCCTCACCTCTGTGACAGGCCTGTCTGTATAGGTCCTCCCTTCCCCCTTTCTGCCTGTAGACCGTGGTAAGCAACAGGATGCGTGTTTCAATCCCGCCGGAGCTTGTCTCGAGCCTTGGTGCCTGCGATATCAGCGTAACGGTGCGCGGCGAAGGGATCGATAAGTATCCAGGTATGTCTCATGCTGTGAACCCCCAAGATATATACTCTTTCCTCCCTCGCCTTGTCATTCTTCTCCTGCGTTAATCCTGGGGCGCCCAAAGACTAACAGGAAGTCCTTGGCGCAGCCAAACAACATGCGCGCAAAGTCGCAATGAAGCTGGGTGTGTCCAGCGGCCTTATCTACCTGGTTGGGAAACCAACCATCAACTGGGGCGATTCCGACCAACCACAACCCTTTCGACAGCGACGGTACTTCTACTATCTTAGTGGAGCCGATGAGCCGGACTGCTTTCTTACCTACGACATCAACAATGACTTACTGGTTCTCTATGTTCCAGACTTTGACCTGCACCGCGCAATATGGATGGGGCCCACGTTGACCACAGACGAGGCTGAACGGCGGTTTGACGTAGACAAAGTGCGCTACTATGCTTCCCTACAGAGCGATATTCAGTCGTGGGTAGAGAAATACAATCATGCCGCTCCAGTCTACATCCTTCATAGCTCTCAGCAGCCCCAATTCATTTTCCGGCAGCTGAACCTAGATGATCAGCGCTTGCTGCCCGCAATGGATGCGGCGCGGGTGGTTAAAGATGATTATGAGCTTCGTATGATCCGCCACGCCAACAAGATATCCGGGTTGGCCCATCGCAAAGTGCTCGAGAAAATCCACAAGATGTCCAATGAAGCCCAGATCGAAGGCCTCTTCCTCGACACCTGCGTGTCGCACGGAGCGAAGAACCAAGCATACGAAATCATTGCTGGTTCGGGACCCAACGCAGCCACCCTCCACTATGTGAAGAACAACGAGCCCCTCAAAGGACGACAGCTGGTCTGTCTGGACGCAGGTGCAGAGTGGGAGTGCTACGCAAGTGACGTGACCCGCACCTTTCCTTTGGCCGCCGATTGGCCCAGTTCATATGCCCGCGACGTCTACCAAATCGTAGAAGAGATGCAGGAGGAGTGCATCAAGCGCATTAAGCCAGGTGTGCGGTTCCGCGACTTGCAGGTGCTTGCCCACGACATAGCCATCAAGGGCTTGCAGAAGCTAGGTGTCCTCAAACCGGGCACCGTGGAGGAGATTCGCGTGTCGGGGGCGTCGGCCATTTTCTTTCCTCACGGATTGGGCCATCACGTTGGACTGGAAGTCCACGACGTGTCCGAGAAGCCAATCACGGGCATGGGGCTGCCTAACAGACCTTGCAGACCTGACTTCATCCCAGCCATGAGCCAGTCAGTCCCCTTGCTCGAGGAGGGCATGGTGGTCACCATCGAGCCAGGCGTTTACTTCTCCAAGCTGGCTCTGGCAAATACCCGGAAACTGCCTCAGGCGCAGTACATCAACTTCGAGGAGGCCGAGAAATACATTCCCATTGGTGGCGTGCGGATAGAAGACGACATCCTGGTCACTCGGACAGGGTATGAGAATCTGACGACGGCGCCAAAGGGCGAGGAAATGCTGGAGATCATCCGGCGCGGGATCGACAATTAGCCGAGCCGTCATGTCAACGATTCGATTTTGCCTTGGCGGTGACAAAGAGCTACTCTCGTTTCACATTTTACTCCATTTCCCGTCAGTGTATGACGATGATGTAGCCAGTCTAGACCCTCCTTCGCATTGTTGCTTGTGTGGAGCGTTGCTGTACCACCTTCAATTACCGAGTCGCACCAAAATGGCATGATTGGTTGCTGAACGGGAATGCTCTCCATCTTCTTCATTCCCCTCAGCAGTCTCGATTCCGTCAGAGGCGTTTTCCCACCCTCCATACCTACGTAGTGTGTATCCCATTCCCATCCTCATCTCCTTCCTCCTTGGATAACCGGGAAAAGTATCTACCACACCAGTAGTACTCAGTAGGCCAGAAGCAAAATCCCATCATCACTTACCTAAGATACCTTACTACCACCCATTGTCATACCTCACATCCTCAACCAAGGAACCAACGCAACCCCGAAACACAACACGAATAAAGACCACCACATGAAACAATCATTCCCGTCTCAGGCACACATACACAGGCACATCCTCATCTCCAATATTAGCAACAACACGACACGACACAACACAACACACAAACGAAGTTGTCCGTCCCATCCCATCCCGCAACTAACCGCCCCCCATCCATCCATCCACTATCCCTTCCTCCTCTCCCGAACTTCTTGTCTAGACCTAGCCTTTCCCTCACAGTCTAGAAAATCCACGATCATTCCAAGCCAAGATTTCCCACCCACACACAAAATCTCCACATATTCATTTTTTTTCCCCCTTAGTCCTTACGCCCCCATCGTGAATAAAAGCCACAAAAGGGGGCGGTAGATAGCAGTGTGGAGGGGTGGAGTAGGTTTGCCGTGCCCTAGGGCTTGCAAGGTACGTAGTAGTAGTAGTAGTAGTAGTAGTAGTAGTAGTAGTAGTAGTAGTAGTAGTAGTAGTAGTAGTAGTAGTAGTAGTAGTAGTAGTAGTAGTACTTTTTGTTATTCATGCGTGAACAACAACACCACCACCACTACCACCAGCAAGCAGCAATAATAAAAATAATAATAATAAACTGTGGTAAAAGGGGGAGGGGATGGGAGGGGAGGGTTTGGATGGGTCACATCAGGGCTAGTTAGTTAGTTCATCGTGTTCTCCATTTGCGGGGGTTAGAAGAGAAAATGGGACTTCCGACGGTAAGTAGTAGTGTTGGAAATGGAGTCTCGGGGAAGACGGAAGGAGATGGGATGAGTTAGTACGTAGTTCCAGTGTGCCCACGTAGAGCTGGACAGTGGACACAAGTTTGGGGGGTCGGTTAGTTGGTTGGTTTAGTGCGATAGGGCTTTGTCTTTTCTGTGAGTGAGTGAGTGAGAGAGAGGGAGATGATGGTTTGTTTGCGAGTGTGAAAACGAAGTAGATGTGATGTTTAGATGGGCCACGTTCGTTGGAACTACGTGGTTGTGGTTGGAGTAGGGTAGTAGTTATACTATAGCTTCATAGCTATAGCTATGCATATCAGTTAGTATAAGTAAGTGGTACACTAGGTTCGCAGTTTGCTTTCGATCCTGTCTGCCCTGCAGCTACCTACCTACTTACCTACCCAACCAACCAACAATAAACAAACAACTTGAACAGGAACTCTACTCCGTGATTCAGGCATAAAACTACCCAAGTTAAGTAGATGCCAGTAAAACTTTGATATCCACTACTGCAGTATATTCAGGCATGCATCCTACTAGAGGACCTGTCTTGCCAGATGGCTTGCCAGCCACGCGCTACGTAGTCGCATATCGCAAATGGTTTGTCCGGGTCCGTTCGCCAGGAACAAACAAAAAAGCACTCATGCACAAAGAATAACTATCGATGCCAAAGGAGTATAGTATGGGACATGTGTCAAGGCCGGATTAGAGCCACGAAAGTCGGTCAAAGCAGAGTTTTTTTGCGGCTTTTTTTCTTTTTTTGTACCGAGATCTGCAGAGATTTCTTGTCCCTCTATTTTGTTGCCCCCAAGGTGATTGAGTTTGTGGAGGGGGTGGGCGAGAATTTGATGAGTTTGAGGGATATACCTTGTTAGTTAATTAGACTGGTTGGGTACGATGTTATTGATGCGGTTTCGGCTGCGTTGAGGCATTATTATTTATTATTGGGATTATCGAGAAGGGTGCACCCGTATAGTTAGTTGTTCCGTCCCGTCAACAATTGATCGACAAAAAGGGAAAATTGGATCTAGAATTATTGATCGATTCCCGCACAATAAATAAAGACTGCTAGTACTATCTAAGTACTACTAGTAGTACCATCTATCAGCCATGCCGCTATAGATCGACGCGCGGAGTAAATAGGAAACAAAATCTGACAAGTTTGACAACTGAACCAAAAGATGCCCGATTTCCTCCGTAGTGAAAGATGCTGCCGAAGCAGCCGTGGTAGGATGTTGTTGTCATCTCCTGACTGACTGAAGTGATTGAACACTAAACTGCCTTGGACTCGACTAATGCAAGGTAATTTTGGCGCGTCATAATACCCGCTCGGCCCGTACGGCATCCACCCCTCGCCACTCGCCAGGCTGAAACGGCTTGAGCAAGGTGCGTGGTTGTAACCAGAGTCCTCGTGGGTTTCAAATGTGGTCCTGCAAAAAGGAAATAGAAAGTGCGTGGATATAGATATGACTAAGAGAAAACCATGTCGATCGAGATCACATGACATCACAGCTGGGGACAGCGGCATCGGAGACGGGTTTTGGTATCGTAACAGGAGTACCTTGTTTGCTCATCGCAGAGAAAATTTGGCTCATTCGGGGCCGAGAACCTCCTTCTGCATGGCGTCAGACCACTGCATTTTGGGATAATATTTGGCAACATATTTTTTATTTTTTTGTTATTCTTTATTCGGTTCCCTTTTAACCCTTTGTTCAACGTTCTCCTGATGGTCTAATAATTCCGTTTAATCCGATTAAGTTGCACCGTGGGTACTACTGACTGGGCCGCATTAAAATTCTTTCTTCTGTTTCTGTTTCCTTTGCCAGGCGCACAGAACTCAATCAGAGATTTTATTTGTGTTAGGCAGCTAGGCTGAACCAGAATTATCTCACTCATTGTGGAAGGCAGCGAATAGTTCTTACTGGTTCCATCACGATGGGAGGAGGCAAGGGAAAGAGAAAGGAAAAGGGTATAACCAAGAATAGTAGTAGACTAAGTAACTAGACTTTTTGTCGGGGAGTAGTGACTCAGGAGAACCCTAATTCGTGAAACTTCTTGTACCTACGGAGTCGCGCCCTTGTGCTCCGTAGGGCCACTAAGAGATGATTTGGTGCGAGCCAAATCACTACGCAATCGCCCTTCTCCATGAGACCACATTTCACCATCGGCAAGCAGGGTTAGGTATTTCTGCTTCTAGACTGCATCAGAGTGGAGTTGGCACTCCCGACAGTAGGGGGATGCTTGAGTGGATCCCCCCCGAGCCGGATGTGAAGATTTTCGTCCTGCTTTCTGTGCCTTTGTAACCTTATTGGGATGTAGTGAGTCACACCACTGCTTTCCCCGTTTTGGCAATCGTTCGGGTTGCGCCATTCTCCATCCGCCATCCACATCTATATATACGCCTGTTCCCGCTTCATGATCTCCTGATCCCCCTTGGCTTGGGTTTTTTCCTCACCTCATCTCATCCTTCCCAGGGGTGATGGTCACTCCTTCCTTTCTAATCGTCTTATTATAAAAAAAAGACCTCTTCGGACAATAGATCCCCTCTTTATAACTGGGGACTATTGTCTTGAAAGATACCCGCTTCCCCTACTACACCTTTACGACCTGCACCCCGAAAAGAATAAAAAAGTTTCAACAAGCTATATATCCTCTTTTTCGCCGGATTGGACGGAGAATGGGCCAGAGACATAATCGACGTCGCACACGACCCCGATCTCGAAACCGCAGCGTCAATCCTTTACATCTTCCGTCCCACCCTTTCTCACGACCTGTCAATACCTGCGCTCCAGCTGTTCCCTCCGCTTTCGACTGTCCTGAAATACCCGCCCCGACCTGGCACTATGGGCATTTGCTAGGGCAGAAGCGTGATCGTGCGCTGAGGATGGAGGCTTCTACGCTGGAGGCGGAACAGTATCGTCTCTTTGGCGGTGTCCCGGGCGACGATGTTGGTCTCTGTTATCGCATGTTGGAGTACTTCGGTGGACTCGACTATATCGATTGGTGAGTTGTCTTGACTCAAATTCTAGCACTGGAAGAACAATGACTAACAGTTCCCTCATAGTCCACAATCCTTAAACGCACTACCTGGGTGACTTTAATCCTGCAGACGTCATTGGGCTTTCTTTTGCAGCAATCCTATAATTGTCGTCCAGGCGGTGGAAAAAATAATTTTTCAACAAAACCAAAAAAGGGAAACGAAGGCATACCCAAATGGCACGCAATACTCAACCGATCGCCAACGGGCCCCATCCCGACATTATCGAAAATCAAAATCCGACATCAGCGAAACCAGAACAATACCAGCTCTCGAAATAAATGCGCGAGAACCAGTTTTCAATGGAGGACCCAAGTCAATGACTTGTAGCAATGAAGATCCCCTCTACCTGTGAGAAGGGAGAGGCGCGGTTGGATTGGTCTTTTGAAAGGCTTGGCCATGTGAACGCTGGCATGGAGGAAACCGGCACGCTTGCAACGTCGAGATCAGAGGGTCTGCCATGGCGAGGGCTTAGTCGCTTTCGTGGGTCGAGTTCGTGCCCGACCCAGTCTCCGGTCATTTTGGCGCTTGAATTCCCTGCGAAGCGGGTAAGTGACTCACATTGTGCGGATTTCTTTTTGCATTTCCGTCTGTCTAGCGTGTAGGGGACCTCCGTTCCCACGCTAATACCCAGAGCTGGCTCTGATGCTCGAAATTTATGAGGAAACGGAAATTACCAAAAAGTTTGGGATGGCGTTAAAAGTTGTCCATTCCTGGGATACACAAAAAAGAGGGATACCAGTTTTATGATGAAATGAAGCTTGGATGTGACATGCTTGTATACCTAAACCCGGAGATTTTCCTGTATCCTAGTAGATAGACCTGAGCGCTGTACAGTATCAGTATGTACGGCCTGACATTTGTCAAAAATTGACATTTGTCGAAAAAATGTCATTATGATAATTCATTCATACAACAGAGCTTCTGAGAAAAAGCGTAGTCATCGCAATCGAGTCATCGACGAAATAGTCACGCCTTCCGGAGGACTAGTTAGCTAAAAGTCAAAAGTAGACCCAAAACTAAGCACATGACCCTGAAAGCCTGAATAATTGGGACCAAGCCACCAATCCCAATCAAGCAGGCGGTGTAGCCCCCTACGGCCCCGTAAAGGACACGGTCGATCACAAGGTACAGCCGACGCCGATGCGGATAATCCCATCTTGTCGACAGTTACTCCGGCCTGCTCTCTCACCTTCCCTCCACCTTCCACACTCTTTTGTCACGCCTGACAGAGGGATAATGCTCCTCTATTATACGACTTGAACCCTATACTAATTGTCTTGATCTGCTGGATATATCTGTCACGCAGCGTACTCAGTGTCCGGGAGACACTCTTTTTGTTCCAGTCCTGCCCGCTGCGGGCGACCGTGTCCATTGTGAACTTGCTTCACCATGTCTACCGACTACAATTACGATGACAAAGTCGGTCGCCTCTTGGATCAGAAGCCAATGAAACACACGAACTGACTTTTTCACTAGGGACAATTTTTCCCGTTCTTTGTCCTGACCCTCACCAGTCTCGTCACACTCCCTCTCACATATAACCTTCTCCGGCCGAGCAAGGGTTCGTACCAGCCTTATACCCTCTAGAGACTCGCAGGTTTCCACCGCCAGATTGTGGTTGGTACTAATTCTTCCGTTTGGCTGCAGGTCTCGAAAACACCGCTCCCCGGATAAAGTCCGAGTTCAAGCCAGAACATGCAGAGCTTATTGAGGCGCAGAAGCGCAAACGCCTGCGCAAAGAGCGCCGCATTAAGCGCATAATCACCGTTGTTGTGGGTTACGCTGTCATGGCGTGGATGGCCTACCTGATTGTCGTCACCGCGAGGACGGTGCCCAAAGTTTGGGACCCTTATGACATTCTGGGTGTTTCAAGGGTGAGCATTCAATCTGTCCACCTGGCGTTTTGGTCGCCTCCACCAATAGGTTACTTAGCTGTACTAACTATGGCGACTTACAGAGCGCTGATGAGAAAGCCATCTCGAGACACTACAAGCGCCTTTCACTTATTTACCATCCTGACAAGATTCGGCCGGACCCCGCAAAGAATGAGACTATTGAGATGCTCAACGAACGTTTCGTTGAGCTTACCAAGGCGTACAAGGCGCTCACCGACGAGGAAATCCGCAACAACTACATCCAGTATGGCCACCCTGATGGCAAGCAGAGCATGAGCATCGGTATCGCTCTGCCCACGTTCATCGTTTCGGAGGGTAACTCCAAGTACACTCTGCTGGTCTACGGTGCACTGCTTGGTGTTTTGCTGCCCTACATTGTCGGAAAATGGTGGTATGGCTCCCAGCGCTACACTAAGGAACGTGTCCTTGTCGCAAGTGCCGGAAACATCTTCCGCGAATACAAAGAGGACATCACCGATGGCGGCATCGTCAACGCCCTGTCCTCCGGCGCAGAGTTCAAGGAAATGCTTCAGGGACCTAAAACGGATGCAGGACTTGCCAAGCTCGAGAAAAAGGGTCTGGCTGAGGATTCCACTTTCCTGTCGCCCGAGGACCGCGAGATCATTAAGGGTTTGGACGAATCTAGCAGACGCAAGGCTCTGGCATTGCTGTGGGCTTACCTCGGCCGCGTTGACCTGGAAGACACTACACTTAACGGAGGTACGTGTATTTGCATCCAAAGCGTCTCTTTAGAATCGGCTAACACTGATGTACCTACAGAAAAGTACGAAGCTGCACCGATCGCTCTTTCGCTGAATGAAGCTTTCACAGCAATCGCTCTGGCATTCGGTAACGTCCGACCCATCCTGGGTTCTTTCCGGACCTCCCAGCATCTCATCCAAGCTGTTGCGCCTGGCTCGTCCCCTCTCCTGCAGCTCCCCCACTTCACCGAGGAAGTCGTTAAGTCGGTTGAAGGCGCCGACGCGAAGGAACACTTCACCGTCCAGAAGTTCATGAGCATCCCCGAAGACAAGCGTCGCAGCCTCACCGTCGGTGCCGGCCTCATGTCCGAGAAGCAGTACACGTCCGCCGTTACCGTTGCCAAGCAGCTCCCCGTTCTCGAAGTCTCCCGTGCCTTCTTCAAGGTCATGGGCGAAAAGGTCATCACTCCCAGCAGTCTCGTCCAACTGGTCGTCAAGGCCCGCTTCATCCCTCCCGGATACAGCGGAGACGTCCCGCCAGTTAACCCCATCGATCTCGAAGACATCGACCCCGACGAAGATGACCTCGACGCCATCATGGGCCGCAAACCCGCGAAGAACAAGACCACCAAGCTCGTCAACGGCGTCAAGGTCGAAGAGAAGGTCGAATCCATCCAGCCTCCCCTCGCTCACGCCCCCTATCTGGCCCGCGACCACTCGCCTCGGTGGCATATCTTCCTGGCCGACGCCAAGCAGGGCAAGATGGCCGTTCCTCCCTTCACTTTCACTACCTTCGATAAGCCCCTCTTCGACGCCGACGGCAAGCCCACTTTCAACGTCCAGACTCTCAAGATGCAGTTCCAGGCTCCTCCCCAAGTCGGTGACTTTACTTTCGTCATGAACATGCTCTGTGATAGCTACCTGGGTCTCGATACTAAGATGGAAATCACCCTTCACATTGACGATCCGGCCAAGGCGGCCGCTTTGGATGAGGAGGATGATATCAGTGAACCTGACGAGGGTAAGCCACCCCCATTAAACCTTTAGTCTCACAAATAGATTAACCTATACTAACCATGATAATCTACAGACTCAATAGCCGGCCAAATGCAAGCCCTCAAGACCGGCCAACCACCCAAGAAGAAGACCAAGAAGCCTTCTGACGACTCCAGCGACGATGACGAAAGTGATACCGACGGAGATGCAGGAGATACCAGCGATACGAACACAGAGACCGATGTTGATGACTAAAGCAGATAAGTGTGGATTTAGTAGAGAGAAGAGAGAAGAGAATGAAAGAAAAAAAAAGAATATACCAAGTTCATTTCTATTACGGGATACTTCTACTACTGCTACTAACTATACTACTGGAGTTTCTATTTTCCTTTATTTTTCTTTTCTTTTTTTTTTTTTTTTTTTTTTTTTTTCATATTTACTACGTGG